GGGGGGGGCAGGGGTTTGGTAGAGACAGGGTCTCACTATGTTGCCCAGGCTTAAGTTAATTTTTTTAGGCATCTTTGGTACGTAAACATGACAACCAATCGGCACACCAAAATTTTCAGTTTGCAATTTTAAATATATAAAGCCTAGGCCGGGTGCAGCGGCTCATACCTGTAATCCCAGCACTTTGGGAGGCTGAGGTGGAAGGATTGCTTGAAGCCAGGAGTTCAGGACTAGCCTAGACAACATAGAAAGATCCTGTCTTTATAAAAAATAGAAAAATTAGCCGGGTGTGGTGGTACATGCCTGTAGTTCCAGCTACTCGGGAGGCTGAGGAGGGACGATTGCCTGAGCCCAGGAGTTTGAGGCTGCAGGGAGCCATGATCGCCACTGCACTCCAGCCTCGGCAACAACAAATTCTAGAGATGTGTGTATATGTGTGTGTATGTGGCTCAGCGGAGTCCATCCTTTCACTGGTACTTGTCTGCAGGGAAGTCCATTCCTGGCTTCCTCATCTTGGCTCTGCCACCCTCGCTGCTGCAGCAGCCCCATGGTGGGTAAAGCAGCTGCAAGGACCTGTGGTGGGAGCAGTCACTACACTGAGGCCAGAATGGTCAGCTGACCCCCAGGGAGCTACCTTCGTGGAAGTGGGGAGAGTGATCTTGACCCCACAACTGGAGCTACTAGCGCCGTCGCAGGAAAGTCTGCCCCCATCTTTGCTATGACTGTTTCTAGATTATAATACATACTCTCTACCGGGACCATTGAAACGTGAATATATTTAATCCAGACATCATAAATTGCACAACCCTTACAAGTAAAGTATGAAGAAAAACCTAAACTCTTGGCTCTCTTGGCTGTTTTAAAAACAGATAATAGTTATGCCAGTAAAGCTGTCATTTTAAGTGAATTTCGTAATTTAAGAAAGGAAAACATTAAAGTATAAGGTTTTTCTGCCAATATAATTCAGATCGGAGATGCTGCCTCCTTGGGGCTAGTGTGCCTCATCACTTCAGGACCAAAGCCATTAAAGGCGGGCAGCGTGGTAACTATTGAATGGGCACTTTCCAAGAAGTTGAAGTGCCACTTTTCAAAAGACAGTCACTTTGGGGTGCAAGCCACAAGGAATCCCACACACCTTGCTGCCTGTGCTGTGCACACAAAGGCCAGAGCACACAGAACCAGCATCGCATGTTTTTTTGTTGAGTGCAAGCAGATGGAATGGACTGATTGGTTTTTCTATGATGTCCAATGGTTTTGATCACCGATCAGAATGTTCTTTATTCATCTTCATTTGCTGATTGTTGGCAGATGTCACTCTAGAGGGTGGCAGAGAAGCACATATCTTTCCTCCACATCTGTGTCCCCCAACCCCATCCTTTTAACGGGGAAGCTTTTGAGCCATGTGTTGTTTTGCTTTTTTGTTTATTTTTGTGTGTTTCCCCCCCAGTGTTTGGGGTGTTTTGGGACCTACCAAAAAACTATTTTTTTAAGTTAAGGGGCACATGTGCAGGATGTGCGGGTTTGTTACATAGGTAAACATGCCATGGGGGTTTGTTTTACAGATTATTTCATCATCCAGGTATTAAGCCTAGTACCCATTAGTTTATTTTTCCTGACCATCGCCCTCCTCCCATCTTCCACCCTCCAGTAGGCCCCAGGGTGTGTAGTTCCCTTCTCGGTGTCCATGTGTTCTCATCATTTAGCTCCCACTTATAAGTGAGAACACGCGGTATTTGGTTTTTCTGTTCCTGTGTTAGTTTGGTAAGGATAATGGCCTTCAGCTCCATCCATGTCCCTGCAAAGGACATAATCTTTTTTTTTTTTTTTTAATGGTTGCATTGTATTTCATGGTATATGTGTACCACATTTTCTTTATCCAGTCTGTCATTGATGGGCATTTGAGTTAATTCTGTTTTTGCTATTGTGAATAGTGTTGCAGTGAACATACGTGTGCATGTGTCTTTGTGATAGAATGATCTGTATTCCTTTGGGTTTATACCCAGTAATGGGATGGCTGGGTTGAATGATGTTTCTATCTTTAGGTCTTTGAGGAATCACCTCACTGTCTTCCACGATGGTTGAACTAATGTACACTTCTACCAGCAGTGTCTAAGGGTTCCTTTTCCTCCACAACCTCGCCAACACCTGTTTTTTTTTGGACTTTTACATAATAGTCATTCTGATTGGTGTGAGATGGTATCTCATTGTGGTTTTGATTTGCATTTCTCTGATGATCAGTGATGTTGAGCTTTTTTTCATATGCTTGTTGGCCGCATGTATGTCTTCTTTTGAAAAGTGTCTGTTCATGTCCTTTGCCCACTTTTTAATAAGGTTGTTTTTTTTCTTGTAAATTTGTTTAAGTTCTTTATAAATGCTGGATATTAGAGCTTTGTCAAATGTGTAGTTTGCAAAAATTTCCTCCCATTCTGTAGGTTGTCTGTTTGCTGATGAATTTCTTTTGCTGTGCAGAAGCTCTTTAGTTTACTTAGATCTCATTTGTCAAGTTTTGCTTTTGTTGCAATTGCTTTTGACGTCTTTGTCATGAAATCTTTGCCCATTCGTGTGTCCTGAATGGTGTTGCCTAGGTTGTCTTCCAGGGGTTTTACAGTTTTAGTTTGTAAATTTAAGTCTTTAATCTATCTTGAGTTGATTTTTGTATATGGTGTATGTAAGGGGTCCAGTTTCAATCTTCTGCATATGGCTAGCCAGTTCTCCCAGCACCATTTATTAAATATTCCCCATTGCTTGTTTCTGTCAGGTTCTACAAACTATTAACCTGGATCCCAGATGTTCATGTTCAGTCAGAATTCAATCGTCTTTTTTTTGTGATTCCACTGATAGTAACCATCTAGATTCAGCCAACAGGAAAGACGGATTTTTGTTCATAAGGAAGGAAAGAAATATTACGGCCCGTGAGCTCTAACTGTCCCTTGCCCTACTCTGTCTTAAGATCCAGGATCCCTCACTCAATTCTAGACACAAATAACAACAGGCTGGAAAAGAAAGTGCTGCAGCTCAGGCAAGGCATGAACGTGCAGATGTTGTCTGATGCTGACGAATTTTGCCAGACAATCAGTATGGGCGGCAACATTGGTGAAAGAAATGAAAACCCCACTGGGGAAAGTTATATCCAAACTCTAGTTCCCCTAACCCTGCCGTTCCAAGAGGTGCTTTTATTTTTAGCTATCCTGCAAGATAGTTTCTTGTCTGGTGGTTTTTATAGAAACAAAGCTGCAATGAGTGTTGCCTCCATCCCCACCCCCATACCCAGGATTCATGAAAGTCCTCGTGGGGCAAAGCATGTATCAAAGATTTAAGGGATGGGTAAAAGGAGTCCTTTATCGTGTCCAGGCTGCTTTGCACTTGAGACCGTCAACCCCCACAAGCTCCCTGGCCCCTGGCCTTCACTGATGCTCGGTCCTATAGAAGCGCTGGTCATAGATGGAAGCAAGCAGGTATTTGGTGACTCAGCATACAAGAGTGACTGGCATTTTTGGTATTTAGAGCTTGACCTCAAAAGAACACATTATGGTGTCTTTCGATTTTGTTAATAAAGGATGTTGAAGACGTTGAATATTATGTGAGGACTGAAATTTTCTTTTTTGCTCGAACACATTCTGGGTGGATGTATGCTATTTGAATTTTTATGGTTAATGAATTACTATTGGAAAGCATCAGTCAGTTTTTCCTGTTATCTTTGAGTATGTAATGACTTTCTGGCAAATTTGAGCATGGATGTAAACATCAAGTATAAATGTGAAATGCAGTTCCTATAAGCCACAGCACTGGGATTGAATTGTAAAGCCCAGAATATACAAAAGTGTGTCAGTGAGGGATCTTCAGTTCTCCAGGAGAGGGCTCAAAGGAAGGTTACAGTTTATAACAACATCCCAGCACCTGTAATCGCTACAGCACTCAACTACAGGTGGGAAAAGGGAGGAAGCAAGACATGAACTTGGACAGTCCCTCGGTCTCTGGAACCTTCCAGCAGGCCATGAAAGCTCAGAGCAGAACGCCATGCCCTTCCTGACAGCCCTCTGCCTAATCCCTGCCATCATGCTGCATTTTCCTCTAGGGCAAAAATAAAGCAGTCATTTTCATGCTTTGCAAAATAGTTCAAGCTTTTTGGATTTCCTTGCATTTTTGTAGATGATTGGATTTGGGGATGCATTTTAAAAGCCATTCCCAGAACAGCAGCAAAATAGAAACAGCCATTTGAATGTTACACCACCTTCCCTTCCAAAATGGCCACACGAATAACCAGTGCCCGACTACCAAGGGGCACCAACTTCACTCCCGATTTTATTTCTATATATGAGTTGCTTTAACCTTTAGGATGACTTTGACCTCGACCCCTGCTCTTTGAGTTCCAGGTCATGGTTGACAGATGTGTAGGCTGTGTGCCTCCTCCCTCCTTGGGGTGCATGACAGCTTGGTGGTGTTTTCCTGTTTGCTCACTTGGCTTTCCTTCCCTCTCCTTCCCGGGGGCCTCGTGGGCTGGCAGCACCGTGGTCCAGCAGCCCAACTGCAGAACCTCAGTGCCTTCCAGCAAGGGCAGCAGCAGCAGCAGCAGCAGCGGCAGCAGCAGCTCCTCCAGCGACTCGGAGAGCAGCTCAGGATCTGACTCGGAGACCGAGAGCAGCTCCAGCGAGAGTGAGGGCAGCAAGCCCCCCCACTTCTCCAGCCCCGAGGTAAGCACTGCCTGGCTCAGGCCCCTCCTCTGCCCACTTTTGTCTCCAGGATGATAGCAAGTCCTGGCATCGTCCCTGTCACACTGCTGCAGGTCTCCTCCCTCCTGCAGAGCCCCAAGCCAGGTGCTGGACAGGAGGAGGCTGTGGGCCTCGGGCTCCACATTTTCCCCATGCTGTCCCCACCTCACAGTGTCCTAATTACACAGATTCCTTTGAAGTACAGAAACATCAACTTTCATTGCTCCCAAATCTCTATCTTGACTTCCAGAAATTTCCAAGTATGCTGTAAACATCACTGACAGGAAATAACCTATGGCTCAGGTCTCCCTCGGGGTCAGCCAGGGCAGTCACTGGACAGGGCCACTCACCGCCTGGGAAGTGTGACCACCTGTAAATCACAGGGAAAGGGGTTTTATGGATTGGACGTGGTCAGATTCTTACCTTTTTGCCGTTTTGTCATGGATCAGAAGAATAAGGGCTATAAATATTAATAAAACCTTCTTAACTGTGTTTTCTTTGTGAAAATATAAAAAGAAAAATTAGCATCAACCTCCAAAAAGTGATGGAACCTTTTAGAGCTGTGATGAGTATCTATGTGGAAGATTTAGGTGCCTCCTATAAAAACATTAGAAGGTACCAATAAAAACCATTGCTATTTCTACTTTAAAGTAGAAAGGGGAAAATTAAATAGTAATTCAGAGCACAAAGATTCTTGGGAGAGGGCTGAGAGAAATTTCCCCAGGCTGCAGAGCTCTAAGGGTAGACTCCAATTTCTAAACAAGGAATAAAATAGAGTTTCTTCTTGAGTGTGTAAACATTTGGCATGACTATGATGGTCAGGTTTAATTTTTTACTTGCAACCCTCTGTACCATGTGGGGGGCCATATTCCTAAATAGGCTCTGAAATGGAACTAAACCCACTTCTACAAACCTGAATCATAGTGGGAGGGGAGCACCTTAATGGGCCGGATCAGCCTCCCCGTGTCCAGCTTTTATAGCGGTGCCTTAGATGTTATCATACCTGAAAGCAGTGGTATTTCCATCTCAGGTTCACAGAGTGGCTCTTCAGTCCCTTCAGGTTTTTCCCCTCCCTCCTTCTTTCAGGAGGCTGAGGGTTTTTGCAGGAGCACTGTGAAATCAGGGAGATTTTGTTTCCCCACATTCCTCATTTTCTCCTCAGCACCCTTCTGCCCTGCCTCAGGACTCTCCATTCATCTTGAACCATGCCGTCTCTCCACGCTCTCCTTCCCATGAGGTTCTGTCTCTGTCTCTCCATCTATCCATCTATCTGTCCATCTATTTATCCAACTGTCTATCTCTGTATAAGGAGAAGGCTCTTAGCAACATTAACCTATGAAAGCCTTATGGTAACATAACCCTGGCTTTTCCCAGAAACTAAATTATTATTCCTTCCGCATAATTTCATTTACTCATTCATTCATTCATTTACTCATTCAGAATTCATTCAACAAATATTTACTGAGCATCAGTCACACAGTACTTGGCCCTGGAATATGCAATTATAGGACAGAAAATGTCCCTATCTTCATAGAGCTGACATTCTAATGGGGATAATTCAAAATGAAAAACATACAGGAGTTAGATAAAGTAGAAGAGTTAAGCTGGCTTCTTTAAAGCCTGCTTTATGCTATACTTTGTGGAGAAATTCTGGAATATTTAGTTATAAGAAATAACTGTGTCCCAGGGACAGTGCAAGGACAGGGTAGACAGTGGGGATATCCAAAAAGTGTTCATGTGTCTGAAGATCCCCCATCCAGGCTCCTCCTTGTGGCTTTGCAGGTTAAATTCATGAATGTTCAGTCTTATTTTCATCCTGAAATGTAGGTCCTAGAGCTCCCGTGTTGACTGAAACCTCATTTAAGACCAGTACAGTTGGCCGGGCGCAGTGGCTCACACCTGTAATCCCAGCACTTTGGAAGGCCGAGGCAGGTGGATCACGAGGTCAGGAGTTCGAGACCAGCCTGACCAACATGGTGAAACCACGTCTCTACTAAAAATACAAAAATTAGCCGGGCGTGGTGGTGGGTGTCTGTAATCCAGCTCCTCAAGAGCCTGAGGCAGGAGAATCACTTGAATCCTGGAGGCGGAGGTTGCAGTGAGCCAAGATCACACCACTGCACTCCAGTCTGGGTGACAGAGACAGACTCCGTCTCAAAGAAAAAGAAAAAAAAAAAGAAAGAGCAGTGCAGTTATAAAGTGCTTTAAGCCAGTGCTTTTTAAATGTCACTGAGATAATTACAAAGACTCGAACTCTTGGGTGATGAAAGGAAGCTCTTGTCACTTCTTCCAGCAGCTATCAGAGGCCCCTCACTAAGGAGAGGCGGCAAGAGCCTCCTAAAGGAGTCAGTCCTAAAAGTTTAAGTCACCTGAGGCTACATGTGGTTTTGAATTCCTGGCTTCCCTACACAGAGGACTGCAGAAGCAGCAGGTCGTGTGTTAGCCACGCTACACGTTCTTTCTTTCTGCAGGAAAGAAATGTATTTGTTGGAATAAAAGCAAAGTTCTTTTAACATTTTTCCGAAGGATAATACAGACACACACACCCTTTAGAAAGAAAATGGGTTTGCAGACTGCAAATGGCAAAGGCGGGAAGTAACATCACCCTGTGTGTCCTCCGCAACTGTGCTGCCTGGTCTGGCGGAGCTGGCCCAGGTCACCTTACAGAGAGCAGTGAGACTCCTTTTCCTCAACCCCACATGACAGTCGGGCTCTTCATAGCCATGTACCTCACATTCCGCTGCTCAGACCAGTTTGTGCTGCTTTGAAGCAGAACGCCTTTGTTCCTCACTCCCCTGCTGTAACATCCTGCTGTGGGCGTAGGAGGCGCCCTGCATTCTCCCCACCGTGTCCCAGCACTCAGAAAACCCACTGGGCTCAGCTGAGATGTGTAGGAGATGTTCTTTCTGCTGTGTGTGTTGAGAGCCAATTTGTTTCACGTAAATCACTGTAGTATGGTGATGCCATGCTCCCACGCAGCATGGAGGGGCCTGCTCTGTGGCATGATGTGGGCTTCATTGGTCTCAGACTACTTTTTCTCACCGGAGTCTAATCTGCTTTCTGGGCACTGTACAGCCTCTTACACCAGAGCTTTGCAGGGGAAGTTGCTTTTCCACTCAGTTAACATGTTGACCCCACACACGGAACTCCCTCGACCTTGTTGTACAATAAATATTATGTGGGAGAAAAAAAAATATCCCAGACACATCATGTTGAGGAGATCTGGGATAAAATAGGTTTATCCCACCTCTTTACCTACAGAATCATCACCCAGCCCTTACTATGGCTTGGGTGTACTGTGTTTTCCATTGTGACATTTCCCAAATCGATCTGACTCTGGAAACCCTCCTTCATGGGACAGATGAGCTCAGAGCACATTTTGGAAAATGCTGCCCTAGATCGTTCTTAAAAATCAGCAGAAATGTGATTGAAGTTGCTCACTGATTCAACAAGCTTCTCATTTACTAGGTGCCTATGAGGTCCGTGGCAGCAGGTACTTGAAGGATTTAGATGAAGCAGGGAGCAGAGTGCGTGGTGGAGAGCTGGTGCCTGAGTCAGAGGGAAGATCAATTAGGGAGGAGAGTCGTGGCTGAAAATATAAAGCAGCGAGCCAGCAAACAAACCAGAACCTTGGGCAGAAACCTCGGGTGGACGGCTCAGGAGGCGGACTGCTGCATGTCGTGTCCTGGCGTCTGCAGCCTGAGTTTCCCCTCCCCACTGCCACTAAACTCTATCCTTGCAGCTTCCTTGGTCACAATTGCCTCATTTCCAGAATGGCAGATATTCCTGCTCTGCCTAATCTGTGAGGTTGTGGGTGGGGGCGGGAATGATGATGATAAAGGAATAAGTGGTACAATGTGAGTGACAGCTCATTGTGAGTTCTTATTAGGAGGAGAGACGTAGTAATCTGCTTCCCTGACCTAGTATGTGACATTTCCCAAATCCTGTAAGGGATACTAAAGAAACAGAGACCCGGCCCTCGCCTGAAAGAAGCATTTGGCTTTTTTGAAGACACAAGACATATATACACATGAAACAAATACGAACATCAAAAGACAAGGCAATTGAGTATAACAGAGGGCAACAAGTACTGTTTGGAGTGTTCTTGGTGTTTTCTCCAAAATTCGGATCTAATGCTGTCATCTTAGGTTGAAGACTGACATTTCTCGAAGGAATGCGGTCCCCCTGTCACGAGGCTCTGCCAGACAAGTGGGAGACACAGTGATGCAGCAGTGGAGACAGCTGGTCTTTAAACCTAGATGAGTACGAAGTTAGTCTCGGTGGAGCCCGGTAGCTGTGCAGCGCTGGGTATGTCCCTTAGGCTCTCTGAGCCTCATCTACAAGTTAGGGGTGATAACCGTTCTTAGCTGTAAAGATTAAATGAGATAATACACATGAAGTGGGAGTTAAACTGTAGGTATTCTGACAATGGAAGATAATGGACGCCCTTGAACGCCAGCCTTAGGAATTTGGATTTTGTTTGAGAGGCAATAGGAGGTTATTGTAGATCCTTGAGAGAAAAAAAAAAAAAAAAAGTATGATTTAGTGATGCGTGGAAAGTGGGTACTTCAAACTGATTTCTTCAGCTGTGAAGCGACGAAAAAATGACCCTAAAGCATACCAGGCAGTGGGCCTGTACTAAATGTATTAAATTCTGCCCTTCTGTTAATGCTCCTGCTGGGAAGTTTCAGTGTGAATTTTCCCGTGTGCAGCTGTGTTTTGGCTACAGACAGACTTCCGTGTTCTCTCACATATGAGATGTGAGCGGTAGAAGGCTCTGGATGGTGGCAGCGGGAGAACTAGCATGAAACGCAGTGGTGGGGCCAGCCTGAGGGGTGTGTTCTACCGTGTGTGTGTGTGTGTGTGTGTGTGTGTGTGTGTGTGTGTGCGCCCTCTCCCAATATGTGCGCCCTTTCTGCAAGAGGCCCCTTCAGCACCCGTTCCTATTTACTGTGCCCCATTTCTCTAGGCAAGCTGAGGCACAGGTGAAGGCACTGACTTAATGAGAGAAAAGGGGGTTGGGGGAGACAAAATTAGAAGCCATTGATTTTTGCCACCAAAGTAGCTTTCAGGCGGTCTCAGCTAATCTCAGGGGAGGTGAGGGATCCCCTTGGCCGAGAAGCTGTTCTGTGTCCCACTGTCCTGCTTTCTCTGACCATGGAAGGACACCTACCACTGCCACATGCACCGGGCATGCTCCATAGGTTTCCCATGTTCCCTTTGTCCGGAGAAGCTAAATAAAGTGAGGTCATGATTTACATGGAACTCAGAGGTGCAAAAACGTTCTGTCTTTCTATTCATTTGCGTATTTCTCTGGAGCCTCTGGTTCTGTTGGTGGCATGAAAACAGGCAAAGAAAAAAGTCATGTCAGAGACCAGAATCTGTGTCAGGGCCAGGGGGGGTCCCCCCTTCCCCACCTACACTCTAGGATGGGCTTCTGCATCCTCACAGCCCAGGGAAGGGGCCTTCATCCTCCTTCTGGCCTTCACTGAAATTTTCCTGCTTCTCCAAGTCACCAGCCACCCTGTGCCAGTCTGCCCTGAAGGGCAGTTGGTCCCATCTGGTTTGGGGCAACCAGCAAGATGTCCACAGTCCCTGTCATAGCTCTGGTTGCCCAATCCCCATGCTCTGTGGCCAATTCCTCTTGGCCCCAGGCCCCTCTGGTCCATCAGAGGCTTCCCATTTCCCTGAGCTGTGCCCCGGACTCAGCCAGGGCCCCTGCATCTATGATGCAGCCCTCTTGTTCCCCCTCTGAAATCCTCAATGCCTGGGGTGAGGCCAAGAGCCCTGAGTTCTGCTTTTTTGTTTTTTTGAGACGGAGTCTCGCTCTGTCGCCCAGGCTGCAGTGCGGTGGCGTGATCTGTGCTCACTGCAAGCTCCACCTCCTGGGTTCACGCCATTCTCCTGCCTCAGCCTCCCGAATAGCTGGGACTACAGGCGCCCACCAATATGCCCGGCTTATTTTTTTGTATTTTTAGTAGAGACAGGGTTTCACCACGTTGGCCAGGATGGTCTCGATCTCA